CAAACTCAAGACCTTCTGTCTCACGCTCCAATGCTTAAATTCTAGACCGCTGAGTCGGCATCCAACATTGTTAATGTCCAACTTTAATCAATCCATGATATTGAAGAACCAGTGAAAAGTTGTATTTGCTGAATATTGATCTCTTTTAGAGAATTATTTAAAAATACAGAAAAGCGTACACGTGTTTCTTCTTAATGTGGAACTCTTCAGGAGCAAACACATCTTGGTTAGCCAGTATATATGGATAAATTACGTGGTATAATCAATCAGTTTCTCTTAAGTTATTATGCGACAAACATGGAATGTCATCAAAGACATCTTTACACTAAACTAATGGGATAAGTTATTTAAACTATTGAACTACTACATAAAGAAAACGTTTTGTGTATTTACGACTACAAATGTGTAGCATTAGTATAAACCGTAAAAATTACTATATTCACTTGCTATCAGTATTCTGAATCTGATTGAAATAATTGATGAGACAGAAATAGTTTAAAAGCTTAAGTCAATTGAAGCTACACCACCATGGAAAACCTGGGAACACTGAACGGCGGTTTCGTCCTATTATGAGACTACTCAGCAGTGCGTATCCACTATCCCGCACCCACGAGATTCGATTTTTTTCGATTATTTTACTATTCATCAACTTCATTGATTTGTTCGCTCTCAAGAAACAAAAAACTTGAAAGCTCATTTAAGCTCTTGTAAGTTCTAAAAGTTCACTCTCTCTTTATAATACAACTCATCGTTATACTGATTCATCTACCAGTTACCAATTGAATTCATTCATTAAGATTTCAAATTATATTCGTACTTCTATATTTTTTCCCAAAAACTTTTAACTTTCTTTATCCAAGGTCAAGTATCTAACAACTATATAGTGCATAAAAAAATGTTTGCTGTTTTCCATTATTCATTATCCATCATTAATACTACATATGGTCAGTTTATTAGATTGTGTTTATTTTTTTTATTTTTTAAAATTTTTTTTTATTGGTTTGGACTAAATTCGCCATTTCACTTTTATACAATTATGATTACTATCAAAAAAGAAATAATAATAATTAAATATAAAAAAAAATTCAAAAAAAAAATTTCTTCTTCAAAAAATTTCCTGAATCTAGATTAGAGTAATGCAGTACATTTATAAGTTACATTTGTAAAGATAGTTTATTCCCCCCCCCCCGAAAAAAATTTATTTTTCAATTTAGATTAACTAATTAAAAGAAATCTAATTTTTGGATAGATCTACACTATATCAATAAGTTGATTTCTTAATAAATAAAAAAAAGAAGAGAAAATCTTTTAATTATTAATACAGTTAAAAATATGTAATGTATATTATTAAAGAAGTTTGATTTATTGCTCTTGTCAATTCATTTCTATGTATTTATCAAATTAAAGTATAATAAAGAAAAATGTATACTATGAATTACTTACTTACTTACGCCTGTTACCCCCCAATGGAGCGTAGGCCGCCGACCAGCATTCTCCAAACCACTCTATCCTGGGCCTTCCTTTCTAGTTCTATCCAATCACGGTTCATTCTTCTCATGTCTGTCTTCATTTCTTGGTAGAATGTATTCTTGGGTATTCCTCTTCTCTTTTGACCTACAGGATTCCATGTGAGGGCTTGTCTTGTGATGCAGTTGGGTGCTTTCTTCAATGTGTGTCCTATATACTTCCGTTTTGTAAAAGTTAAGGTTTTGCTAATGTAATAAAATGAAGATTATTACACTAGTAAGATTTATCAAAAAGGATTCATTGTTTTAAAGTTAAGATTTAAGATGTTCTACGACTTTCATTTGTATTACATTGGTTATATTCTTGTTAATAATTTAATTATTATAAATAAATACTATATTTTTAATATCTCAATGAGTAGAAAAAAGAGACTTTCTGACGTTTCGTGACTCATTGTAAGCCTCTTCTTCAGAGGATTTATTTATTCTCTGAAGAAGAGGCTTACACTGAGTCACGAAACGTCAGAAAATCTAATTTTCCTAATCATTGGGATATTACAAATATATTTTCCTTTATTTATAACAATTTTTCCAATGCTCAAATCATTCAAAATTATCAAATCAAAACTTGGTAATGATATATAAGAACTCTCGTCTAAATTAGAGCGAATATTTTCACAGTATTTGAGCACCGAGTTGATGTAAGACATTATTCCTTGAAATTCCTTGAAAAAGCTTGGACCAGATTGCCAGGCGAAACGTTGGATTTACTACAAATTCATTCACTGATATTTTACAAATATATTATTCCTATTTAATGTCTTGGTAATGATACCTACAAATTTAATGATTGTTATTTTATCAGAAGTGGGAGGGGTTGTTGTCGTGGGGATTTTAATAATTTTATAGTTGAAATCATGATTCATTATACAAGTCATGAATGAAAATTTGTGAAATATTTAATAAATTTATAAAAAAAGATGAATAGTGGCTAGCGATGGAATCCAGGACGCGCGTTTCGTTGTCTTATTTGGGACTTGTCAGCTCGACTGTCCAGTTGCAGTCCTAAACATCAATGGGAAGATTAAAATAAACAATACTAATCGAATCTAATAATATACTAGTATATTAATAGATTTTAAATAAAATTTTTGTTTTGTTGTTGTTGCTGTTGTTGATGTCGAAGTTAGTGTACTATTATTTTCCATTAAAAAAAACCCAAAAAATTAAAACGTTTGATTGATATTTTTAAATTGGAGAATATTTTAAATGTGAATTTAAAATTTAGAACTAAGTTTATATTGTGAGCAAAGATGGATAATGACTAGCATTGGAATCCAGGACTCGCGTTTCGTCCTATTTGAGACTCATCAGCTGGATGTACCTGCACCTAAGTTTATATTGATATTTAGTGATTTATTATGTAATTAAAAGCAATTAGTCCCTTTGATAAATTTCGATCGTGTAATAAGAAGACGAAGGTTATCAGAACTATGTGATGATACATTAGCGCAATACATTTCGAACAATGTGATCACATATAATATTAATTATCAGAAGGGGTTTTGTGGAGATTTAGTATGTTTCATGGTTGAAAGCATGAGTCAATTGAAGTTAGACCACCATGGAAAACCTGGAGACACTGGACGGCCGTTTCGTCCTATTATGGGACTCTTTAGCAGTGCGCATACACGAACCCGCACTCTCGAGATTCGAACCCAGGACCTACCAGTCTCGCTCCAGAGCTCTTAACCGATAGACCACATATAATATACTTGTTAAGAACGTTTATATATAAAAAAATAAAAGGTCAACTAGACTGGAAACGGGGAGGGGTAAGAGGAGACAAGGATAATAATAAAAAAAATAAAAATAATGTGAAAACAATTTGAAACCTAATCACTCTGGATTATAAACTAATATTGTCAGGGTAGTTTTAAGGTAGGAACAAACTGTTTTTAAATACACAAAGGGGGTTTGAACTTTCGTATGGTTAAGTCTAGTTGACCTTTTATTTTTCATATATAAATGTTCCTAACAAGTATATAATGTGTTATCAGATTGTTCAAAATGTATTGCACTAATATATCAATCACATAGTTCTGATAATCTTCGTCTTCTTATTACACTATCAAAATTTATTATGTAATTAATTCTGTTGAAATGAAAGTGTTGGGTTATTCTTGAGAAGTGTATGTTTACAAAGATATATTACTTTGTTTTTAAAAAACGCAATGTAAATAAGATGTATTGGAGAATTTATCATTTCACTGTAGATTTACATTTTTTTCGGAACGTTCAATTTAACATTGTCTTGTTAAAAGCCAGAAAGAAATCAACACTTGATTTATCCTACTATGGGGTTCCACTATTCACTGTTATTCGTGGTATTTGCCTCAGGTCAGACGTGAATGATCTCCGCTGATCATAATGTTTCACTAGATGTTAAGCGCTCACTTCTTTCAGTCCTCAATATGACCATAGATAAGCAGTGCTGAGGATCCACATATTAGTACGAAATATCTTTCCTGCGTTATCATTTTCTCATACTTTGTCTAACAAAAGCTACTTTGTTCTATGTAAGGTCAAATTCAACAATTTTCTTAGCCCTCACTATAACAGGAAATGATAATCATTTGCCTACTGTTGACTATGATGAAACCTAATGTTAAAGGAGCACGAAATTGTTTAGTAATTGTGTTGAAATTCAGTGGTTTTCAAATTCAATGTGTGATCAGTTCACAATTGGGCACCATTAATATCCAGTATCGACACGAGTTACTGTCTCGTCTCTAGTTTATTTGATTTAAAAAGTCAAAACATCTCAACTATAGAAGAAATGGGGTAGATATGACATCAACGATATTGGATGATGACTAAGCCATATCACGAATCGATCAAAGTTAAAAATCGTAACTATGTAATCTCTGCTTAATGGTCTAAATATATCGTTTCGGGTTTAATCCCATATAGGTAGGTGTAAACTGAATATTATGTTTAGATTTTATCCATCCGAAGTCAGTCCGCGATGAAAAACGATCTTTGAATTGATAAGTCTTTTACATGAATCCATAGACACAAAATTCTCACTTGCCTCTTAATTCCCAGAAGTCTTCAATATATGAACGCCGAACAGACGGTAACAGACAAAAAGTATTGATGGATCTTTACATTAAAAATAAACTATGGATAACTAGTGAGGGTATTTATTGAATTGTATAACCTAGAGGTTGTAGAATTTCCTAGAAAACATGCTTAAATTGGTAATAGGTTCAATAATCAATCAATCAAAATAAGAAAGCCTTAATCAGTCATTTTCTAAGTTTATCTCGGTAGTCTATTAAAAGTACTGATTGATTGAAAGTTTTACCTCTTTTCTTGATTTTCTGAGACTTTTCCAAGGAAAATAAATGTAGACATTATCTTTTTTTAGATCAGTGTTTTGGCTGGCAGTCATTAATATGCACTAATCTACTCCTCAACAAACGATTTACTGATGAATTTAACTTTTATTATATCTTATTTATTTTATAGCAAATACTCAAATCATTCCACCATATTCATTGAATGCAAATATTATAAGAAGTGATACAAATAAAGCTACAATAGATGAGGATAAGAAATCTAACCATTCATTAAAGGTAATAACGGTTAGTTTAATTTATTTTTCTATACTATGTATGTTGAGGATGACAAAACCCCTGAACTTACTTGATAAATGGCTTAATTTTGTAATTTTATTTTGAAAATTTGAATTTAGCTGTTTTCGCGCCAAAAGCGCTCTTTTTACCTTGACGTCATATTTCCCATTTGTAACTATCTTAAACGCTATTGGTCCATTGTTTCTTGAGTGTGCTACTTTATATTGATGCCCAAGGATAATTTGTTGCTGTATATATACGTTTGACTTTTTCCCCTTATGATTGCTGTGCTCCTGGCTGCTCCGGAATACAATTTCCCCGCTTCTACTTGAACTTCTTACTCTAGTTAGCTGGGTCGCGTCAGAATAGCTAGCTATCGGTCTCTGGTCACAAACCTTTATTCATTCGCTAAATAGTGAATTCGTAACGCTTCAGATACAACAATGTAATCCATATCTTATGAGTTATTACAAGAAAGTATTTTGTTTACATCAAATCATTGATACTTTGTAATTTGTTTAGTTCAAAACAATCATGATTGTTTGACACCACATCATTAGCTTCTGAGATGGTGGAGATTATTTGTAGCTTAGATGGATGGTTTTGATGGAGTTTTGTTCTTTGAGCTAAACGACCAAACCATCCAACCCAAGAGAACAAAACTCCATCATTAGCTTCTATTTCATGTAGTAAAAAAAAATTGTTCATTTTCAACATTCTATAATCATTCAATCAATTTACTACGTTTGACTTGTGTATCTCTAACCTTTTAATTTGAAATGAATCTCTAGTTTCAGTGGACAAGTATTGTAATAGGATTGATTATTCAGTAATAAAGGTGGTGAAAAATTTTTTTTTCTTTTAATTGCAATTCTACAAGAATAATTGTAGATTATTGAGTAGTAGTTCGATTAGTTATTGAGAAAAGGAAATAACAAGAAATGTTGGCAAAAAATATGATTTAATTCTATTCGGATTGTTATCTATTATCTTTAAATAGACAAACACACATACACATATGTAATCATTTTTTTTTTAACTTCATTCTTGAATTTATTAGATCAGTATTCTCCAACCCACACTATCCTCGGACTTCCTTTCTAGTTCTACCAAATTCTTGTCCATTCTTCTCATGTCTATCTCAATTTCTTGGCACAAAGTGTTCTTTGGTCTTCCTCTTCTCCTTTGACCCTCAGGATTCCATGTGTGAACCTGCCTTGAGGGTGCTTTCCTCAATATGTGTCCTATCCACTTCCAGCTCCTCTTCCTGATTTCTTCCTCCACTTGAATCTGGTTTGTTCTCTCCCACAGTAGGTTGTTGCTGATAGTGTCTGGCCAACGGATCCGAAGTATTTTGCGTAGACAACTGTTGGTAAACACTTGTATCTTCTGGATAATGGATTTCGTAGTTCCCTATGTTTCTGCTCCATACAGCAGAACTGTCTTGACATTTTTATTGGTAATTGTGACTTAGGTGTGGTTTGAAAAATAGTTGTTTTCAGTTTCAGATATTCTTCAGTTGTAGATATTCTGCTCTTGCTTTGTCGATCCGCACCCTCAAATCTGCATCGGATCCACCGTGTTCATCAATGATGCTGCCTAGATATGTGAAGGTTTACACATCCTCCAAAGCTTCTCCGTCAAGTGTGATTCGATTGATGCCTGCTGTGTTGCATCGGAATCTTACTTTCCCCTTTGTGTATGTTGAGACCTACTGCTGCTAAACTTGTCGTTTTCTATTTCATTTGTTGCTGCGTGTGTGATAGAAGAGTCATGTACGAAATATACGTATTCGAAATAGATTCTCGCATGTGACTTACTTGATCCCGTTATTCACTAACGCAATTAAAGTCGATAATGCGTAATAAGGGTTGACAGCATGTATTGTTCAATAACGATCGTTAAATGATCTAATTGAAGTCAGATATTGGGCCATGCAAATGTGGTGAGACTATCTATAACATCATCATCGTATCTAATTGGCGTCAAAATAAAGAGTCCGACAAAAAGTTTAGTGTGCTGGAGCTTGAAGTTTTAGGTATTGGGTCTGAGTTTCAGTATGAACGTCAATAGTGTGGCAAAGATACAAAAAGTTGAATAGTCTTGAATAGAAGCACCTCTGGTTTAGTTGAAAGCCATGACCAGTGGAGTCCAGTTCGTGTCGTGTGTGAGACGGTTATCCACCTCAGGTAATGGATGATAGGTTGTTCGAGATCATGTATTGATTGAAGTTAGACATTAAAACCATTAGACACCGGCTCAGTGGTCTAGAGTTCAAGCGTTTCCAAGCAAAACAGGTCTCGGGTTTGGTTCGCGGTTGTGGAGTAATGTATGGGCACTTCTGGGAAGTCTTACATTATGATGAAGTGGCTTCCCAGTGCTTCCAGGTTTTCATTAGTGATGTAGCTTAGATCGACTCGTGATTTAAACTGTATATACTTTTCAACTTTCACAAATCCCGCGTGCTAATAGCTTTGTAAATGAGTTAGACTCATATATTCATAAGTTTGTTTCATTTTCAACTTATTTATACTTTAATCAAACAGATCGAACAACAATTTCCTTCCTTGTCTCATAATCATCACCGAAATCAGTATTATTCACGTTATTATGAAAATGATTTCAACCAGCATCCACAATCACGTCCTGCAAGTATCGCTTTACCAGTTGACAAGGATAGAAATGATGAAATTTCATTTCCAACATATAACCAATTACAAACCAATCGTCAGATTAATCTGAATAACATTCCGAAAATTAAAGAATTCGATCATTTGACTTCTGGTGATCATCCAGGTAAATATATTTTCGATGTATGAAAGAATTACTATTCATATGTTATCAATGGTGACAGTTTTAAAAATTCACATAATGAAGTTTTATTTACACACTGTACTTTTATTATCTTGAAGATTGTCGAGAAACAGAATAAATACCGGTATAACGAATAGTTGTTTTTGCTTTAAGTCAGTCATTTGTTACATTTTATGTCGACACAATGTGAGATGGGTTTTAGAGGATAAGAAGTTAAAGAGAGGAATTGATTTGAGGTCCATTGATAAAATTAACTTTATATGTTTCACGAAGTTACCTTAGATCTCTATACATACTTATGTATCATGAAATACATATCTGTAAAACAGTTTAATTTCAACCATGAAATAATTATAATAATATGCTCATTAGTAACTGACTTCAAGACACATGTCCTGGAGTTCTAGTGGGAAGCAGTGACCAGTGGAGTTCAACCAGGTCTGTTGTGAGATAAAAACTCACTGAGGACAATTGGTGAACGGTTGCTCAAAATTTGTGGATCGTTTGAAGTTAGATATTAACAACTTTGGATGCTAACTCAGTGGTCTAGTGGTTAAGCGCTTAAGCGCGAGACTGACAGGTCCTGTGTTGGAATCTCGCGAGGCGGGATCGTGGTTGCGCACTTCTGAGGAGTCCCATAATAGGACGAAACGGCCGTCCAGTGTCTCCAGGTTTTCCATGGTGGTCTAACTCCAAATGACTCATGCTTTCAACCATGAAACATACTAAATCTCCACAAAACCCCTTCTGAAATGTCATGGCTTGTTACGTTCTTGTATTGTTTACGTCTCATAGTTTATGCTAGGTAAATTGTTGCGGAGATTTAGTTTTTGACTTTATATGAATCCATTCCGATGTATTTTTGCCTTATTCTTTCATTGGTTTAACAAGGAGAAAATCAATTGTAAACTGGATACTTTTTATTTGATAAAACAGTACTGATTAATTTTTTGTCGATTTTAAACGTATACTCACAGCCACATTTAAACCAGGTACAAGGCCTCATTCATCATCCTAATAAATAGTCTTCTGTATCCTAAGCAACGAAGGATTACCTTTTCTTCAAAATTTCAAAGAAAATATGATTAAAAATAATGTGAGGAAATAAGTAAAAAATTGAATTACTACAAACCTGTAGAATACAGCTATATTAAGTTTCAAATCTTATCAAGTGAGTTACTATTTTAACTTCTGGAGGAAAGCACGGGATACAATGGACAGGTAGGATGCAGCTGGATGATTTAGACTTCATAGATGACCTTACTTTTATATCACACACGCAACAACAAATGCAGGAGAAGACGACCAGTGTAGTTGTAGCCTCAGCAGCAGTAGGTCTCAATATAAACAAAGGGAAAAGAAAGGCTCTCCGATACAATACAACATGCACCAATCAAATTACACCTGACGGAGAAGCTTTGGAGGATGTAAAAACCTTTAAATATCTGAACAGCATCATTGATGAACATGGTCGATCTGATACAGATGTGAAGGTGCAGATCAACAAAGCAAGAGCAGCATACCTACGACTGAAGAACATCTGGAACTCAAAACAATTGTCAACGAACTCAAAGATTAGAATTTTTATTACAAATATCAAGACAGTCCTACTGTATGGGGCGGAGATGTGGAGAAGTACGAAATCCATCATCCAGAAGATACAAGTGTTTATCAACAGTCGTCTACACAAAACACTTCGGATCTGTTGGTCATACACTATCACCAACAACCTACTGTGGAAGAGAACAAACCAGATTCCATCAGAGGAAGAAATCAGGAAGAAGGATTGATAGTGGATAGTACACACATTGAGGAAAGCACCTTCAAGGTAAGCCCTCACATGGAATCCTGAAGGTCAAAGGAGAAGAGGAAGACCAAAGAACACATTGTGCCGAGAAATGGAGACAGACATGAGAAGAATGAACCGTGATTATATGGAACTAGAAAGGAGGGTCCAGGACAGAGTAGGTTGGAGAGTGCTGATCGGCGGCCCTCGATCCATTGTGAGTAACAGGCGTAAGTAAGTAAGTATGTAGTTACTATTTTATGGTGTATACTATTTCTAATAAGCATAATTTTTCTTATAAAAGACATATTTACTTACATCTTCATCTTTAGGACCGACTTACCTTAATGCTGCATTAAATGCATTTGGTTATGGTTGTAAACCAGACTGGAAACATTTTTGTGTTTCCCCATCAGCTAGACGTTTAGCTCATGCAAGACAGTCAATGAAAGTAAAACAAATTGAAAGCAATCCATGTAACATAACTTTATCCAACGATAATAAAGAAAATGATGAAATTTTAGACAATAAAAATAGTGATTATGATGATCATGAAACAACTGATGAGAAATGCATGGACAATAACCTTAAACAAACTATTGAATATTCATGTGATGTAAGTAAGTGTGAAAGAAACAGTTATTGACAGTAATAATTTATTTTTGTATTGGTCATTCAACTCTTCCCATCGGTGTTGAAGACTGCAATTGATCAGTCTATTATTGGCATATGTGCATCCTGTTCAGACTGCCTCCATCTTGCCTTAATTCACAAGCATTATAAGCAAACATGGACGGTGATTAGCAGTGGAATACACGACGCGCGTTTCATCCTATTTGGGACTCGTCAGCTTGAAGTACCTGAATTCCAGAGTTGACATTTACTCCAGGACTCGAACCTAGTACCGTTCGCTTCAAACGCTATTGCGTTACCCACTCACCTACTGAGTTCAGATAGCCATTAGCTTGTGAAAAGTTATTGACCATATTGTTATTTTTTTCATGATCTAACGTTTGGTCGAAATATATTTTCTGGCTTTATATAGAAACATGTTATATCACTTCATCTTTCATGAAATATTTAGTCCAAAAAACTGAGTTTATGCAGTTTTTTTCTAGAAAAAATATCAACAACTCAGTTATATTGTTCAATAAAATGCTTATAAGTTTTATAAAATGCATGAGCTAACCGAAAATAAGAATGTACATTCAGGTTTTCTTTTTATGTCTCTACATACATTAGAAAATAACCACTGTATAATAGGTTTAAACTTCTTTCAGACTACTTTGTTTAAGCAATTAGGTATTGTAGGGTTTGCTACTAATGTCGACAGATATAAGTAGTATATGGTACTAATTAAAAGTGTAATGCCTAGCGACAGAAGGTTGAGAAAATCGAAGAGAAGAGAACGAAAGCAGAGAGTGATTAGTGTTAAAACGGAGGAACACTGAAGTCTGAGACAATTGATGGATATTTTGCAAATGAAGTATTTACTGTATGGTTCTCAGATTTTACTAAGATATTCTGTAATGTTCTTGTTAATAACAGTGTTGTCGTTAGATTTAAAAAAAGGTATATAGCTTAAAGTCAAATGCATCAAACCGTACTCTTGTTAAACGAGTTAAATTAGCATTTGTCAACTACTTTAATTTAAATAACTTTCTTATTAATTCTGTTTTCTGAAACATCATATTGCTACAGGCGGAGCTATAAATTATACTTACGTAAACTTAGTCGTACCCAGCAATATCATATTTATTAAGACGCCAAATAGCTTGCCATTAATGCTATGAATTAGGATTTGTTAGTTTGAAGATACTGATGTGATGAAGTTGAAAAATGATTTCTCAATTTATGGGATTATTAATTTAAACCCCTTAATGAAATTATACGAAATAGACGAATAGGATTACTTTTAATAAAGTAACATGTTTGTATATAAAGTGGTCGATGAGTGTCAGTGGACTTAAGACCTAACAATCATGCTTAATTCTTGTCTGATATATCAGCTGAATAGAGGTGGGCTTAAAATAATTAATAGTTTGAAGTAAAAGTATGAAGCCATTATTATTCAGGATTCAGTTCTCCCTTCATCAAACTTAAATATAAGATTTAGTTGCTTATACCCGGTGATTGGTATTTTTTTATTTCATTTGACTAAGTGATAAACTGCATACACATTCTCGTTGAACTAAATGACTTCAATCTGCCTGACTGTGATAAGATAGGTGACGACAAGTAGTATTATAAGTATGTTTCAAAAGCATAGCATGTATCTGTATCAAAAGCTTTTAGTTCCTTATTAAGTGAAGCTTGCTGCCAAATTCGACACTCTATTGAACTATTATTGGTTAGAAATTATATTTTGAAACGTAGTTTATAACTTACAATGTCAAATAAAAGAGTAGTCAATTAAGGAAACAATTAAAACAATAAGAAATCTAGGAGGAGTTATGTGAAGCTTAAATTCTGTTAAATCTTTGTTGATTATTGACATATCTTGCTGTGCTGGCGAAAAGTCTAACAATGTGGATATGTACCTTATTATGTCAACCTCTAAGATGTCTCCAGGTGATATGTATATATATAACTATTTCAGGATCTATCTTAAAAATGACGTAAAATAGTTTTAATATCCTAAAAGAAAAAAACTATTACTTCTGTTATTTTTGAAATCCTAAAAAAATCGTAACCAACATTTCTTTCTATCATTAGTTCATACTAATCACTAAATCAATATTGTCTAGTTATTTAAATTGTCGCCATATTGTTTTACTAAATATCGACATCTACTGATTACTATGACGTTTTCTACCCATATAGATATATCTCCAACTGTAATATTGCTGAGTATAGAAAAATATAAAAAAATTTTTTTACTTATTATATTAAATATTATATCATGTTCAGGTATGTAAATCATATGGATTATACAATTTGTATTTTAATGTGAATGGTTGAAAATTTACTAGTTTACCTTTTCATTTTTAAACTAGTCTGGCACCAGAGCACTTAACCGATAGACCACTGGTGGATCCCGGGTTCGAATCTCGCGAGGTGAGATCATGGATGCACACTGCTGAGGAGTCCCACAATAAGATGAAACGGTTGTCCAGTGCTTCCAGGTTTTCGATAGTGGTCTAGCTTCAATTGACTCACGCTTTCAACTATGAAAATAAGGATTATTAGTTATCTGTTGAAAATAGTTAACATTCTATTATTTCAGTAAATTTTATATATAGTTGTAAGAATTGTAAGGTTAAAGCTGACTGATTTCATGAGATAATGTTTGGAGCTTTAGTGAGGAACCCTGACTGGTAAAGTTCAACCATGCCATATATGAGCAAGTTACCTACTAATTGGATTGGAAGATGATTGTACATCATGAAGAGTTAGTTGAAGTTCAAAATATGTTCTAAAATATATCAACTTGATGGCCTTAAGTTTAAAAATCTACCACGATACATGAAATTTATGGGTTGAATCCTCCTTGAGCTCTTTGGTGCCCGGGTAGTGTTTCCTAGTTTTAACTGATCGTTTAGATAAGGTCAGTTTGTGATAAAAACTATTAAATCTAGCTTTCTCTACAAAGTTACTAAATACTGATCAAAACAACAAGTGTTGATTAGTTGTTTATATAGATGAACCAATACAGAAAAAAGTAGAAGTCTAGGTTTCATGTATACGATAAATTATAAAGAATTTCTTAATTCCACTTAATCTATCCATCTTTAAAGTTATAAATAAGATAAATACAAAAATATAGAAAACAACCAATAAGTAGACTGGATAGTCTCTTTTTTTAATTGAATTAATATGTTTTAAAAGAAATAATTGACTTTCATTGGAAACTTATGAAGTATATAAATAACTTTGTGTATGTTTTAAAATAAATCATTTTGTTTATATGACAACAAATTAATAGAAAATTGAATTACGAAATATTAAAACAAATTTGATGTAGGAAATACGAGCTAGGATGTCGCATCAAACAATGAAATCATTGACATTGGTGAATGGTCACTCAATTTCGTGGATTGGTTGAAGTTAGACATTAACATCGATGGATACCGGCCGGCTTAGTGGTCTATTGGTTAAGTTCTCTGGAGCGAGACTGGTGGGTCCTGGGTTGGAATCTCGCTCGCAAGGCGGGATCGTGGATGCTCACTACTGAGGAGTCCCACAATAAGACGAAACGGCCGTCCACTGCTTTCAGGTTTTCTATGATGGTCTAGCTTCAATTGACTCATGATCTCAACTCTAGAAAAATCATTGGTAGTTAACTTGAACATTAGCTTTTAATCTGTTCAAATATTTTAATCACAATTTTTGAATTCTGTAAGGAAGTTATGAAATCTAAATTATTTTTTATTCTTAGTATAGGGTCATGTAGATTGTTGAGTTTTGATTGAGATCAATGTTAGACCATTATTAAAAACTTGGAGACACTGGACAGCCGTTTCATTCTAGTATGGGACTTCACAGCAATGCGCATCCATAATCATGCACGTGGGATCCGGGTTAGGGGCAGTTACCCACCGAAGACAAAAGATGGTCGCGCAATATTAGCAGCTGGTTGAAGTTAGACATTAACATCAGTGGATGTCGGCTCGATGGTCTCGGGTTCGAGTCCTGCGTGCATGTACGTAAATGAGCACTGCTCCAAGATCCTATACCTTTCAATTATCAATTAGGTTAAACCGAAATAATCGTAAATCATCAGGTTGTTGCCTCTTTTTTATTTTCTTAAATTTTTAAATTTTGTTATGGATACATTTTCTCTCTTTTTTTTGATGATTTTAATTATGATAGATTTAATCTAAAATGTAAACAATTTTTATTTTTCAATCATATATATAATATCGAAGTAAATCTACACACACACACACACACATTCACATTGTTTATGGATCATTTCAAATAAATAAATAAATAATTTGAGTGACAGAATACCTTCATAAATCATATCGCTTCAATTATTTATATTTTTAATTTTGTTTTCTTCACACGTACATTCGTTCATAGATTGAATGAAAAACACAATATTTAGTTGAAATTGTTTTTCTGGTTAGCATTTGCTTAGCGAGTTAGTTTTTCTACGGGTTGGGATCTCTAACCCCATGCCAAATCCTCGTCCTTTTCCTCGGGCTTGAAACCATCAGTAACTCTAGAAGAGCTACAGGTAGAGTTAGAATATTTAATAGTTCGATTAAATATATTCATCATTATTTAATGATGATGACGATGATGATGATGATGATTAATGTTAAATTACAGTGTCTTCATAAAATATGAAAACCATAAATTAATTACATTATTTGCACATCTTTCATCAATTGTCTCTTACAAACGTCATCGTCCCTTCATTCCTGTTGTCATTGAAATTATTCTTTTGTTTATATTACTGTTCTCTTTGAATCAATCTTTTCATTCTTTTGGTGCTAAGCATTCCATTTCTGATTGGTGTCATATACTACTTATACCTGTCAATATAAGTAGCATACACTATATGAACACCAATTTAGATACATTATTTGGTTAAAACAAAAAAACACAAGTGTCAGCATCCCTCAAAAATACTTTATTTAAAAAGGCGTGATTCATAAATTGTTTTGA